GGGGGGTACTGTGAGGTTTTGTGTTCTTGTGTGTGTTATTCTTGTTGTCTTGTGCCTCTCTCTTGTGTACTCTTCATGACATTACCCCTTTACCTCAGCTTCATCCTTCTCCAGATCTTTCCATTCACACCTGTCTGCACTTGTAATTAGCTCATCTGTCTTCCATTTCCACTCAGCTCTGCTTTGTATAAATCCTGCTCATTTTCTCTCCACCTTCGTCCGATCATTGTTTGGGTCTCTGCCCTGGCTTCCCTCTGTGTTCTCCTCGTTAATTGTAAGTTTCAGTTTTGCTGCCACGTCGGCTCTTTATTTAAATAAAAGATTTTTACTTTGAACCTGCCTGCTTGCCTGCATTTGGGTCCAAACCTGCCTGCCAAACCTGATGGTAGCTTAAAAAACAGGCATCTGAAAATGTGCTGAGGTCATTTTGACCAGATTTGACCCAATCCTCAGTTTGATGTGATGAATCAGCAGTATGCACACGTTCAAACTCCATTGACCTCCACCGTGTCTGAGCACAAAATTTTCTTCTTGAAACCAAAAACTATCTTTTTAACTTGTCATATTTCCAACATAAACACTGTAGAAATTAAAACTGTCTGTGAGGTTTTTACTTTCACTTCAGGAATGTTTTCAACACACCTTTTTTTTCTAGTGTGCTTTCACAGAAAACTGCTTTTTCATCAGTTTCCTACGAAACAGAATAACAATGACACAAACTCCAAAAACTTTCTTAGGAACTGAGTTATTTTATGTCTTTTCAGACATACCTGACATCTTATATCCATCTTCATCAGAGGTGTCACAGCTGATGTTTTTAGAGGCGGTGTCGGCCCACCAATATTGACAAGCTGGCACCGCCTCCTGCTGGCTTCACTTCTGGTATGTTTGAAGATACATAAAACAACTCAGTTTCTAGTCACAAAAGAAAGATTTTAGGATTTACTGAATGTATAGACGACACAAACGGTTGAATAAAAGTGGTTACTTTATTTGTCGCTTCACTCCATTGTGTTCACACACAGCATCTCTCTGTTAACCTAAAAGTTAAACTTCCTATGTTAGGCTACAGTCAGACATTTCTTCCTGAATTTGCTCCCAGGTTTCGTGCTGGACACCATCATCGCAGTTTTAAAGTGAGAAACACACATGAGAGATCCCACTCCACTGCACTGATTTAGATAAGCAGCACACAACACTGAAGGAGGAGAAAAAAACACAGAGTGAAACACCAAAAAAAMCCCTACAAGTAACTTTTTCTCTACACACACTCACACACGTGCCCTCACACCAACACACACACATACACACAGACAGGCGCACAACTATTTTTTACTGAAAACAACTACACAAACACCAACAGACACCAATGTAACGTTACAGACAGTACAAAAATCAAAAAAAAATATCTGAAAATATACAATTATTATTTACAGCTCAAGTATACACCCTGTCACTTTCACTATATAGATACTCAGTGTGAATTTATCAGAATGTACATCAAATATGTACAGATTAAATACATCATCTTAAATACTATAAATATAACTATGTTTGGTCACATAACGATTATTTGCACATTGAAATAAATTTACTGTTACTCTACTTTTGTCAAGTTCCTTTTGGTGACTGAGCTCAGATAAACTCTAGGAGTTGTTTGCAACACAGCGAGACGAAACAAAGAGACCCTGGAGTTTTTGTTTTTCAGTTTTCTTATTCATATTCTTAATCAGTTTATATTATCGTTACTGATTGGTAAAAAACRTTTTTACTGCCTGAGACCATACAGAGTTTAAACAGTGTTAGCAAGTGTTCTACCCTGGTCAGATACAACTTTATTATTAATAAATGCAGCATATCTTAAAGAAAACTCACAGACATGATTGTGCTTTCATCAAATCTGTTGCTAGTAAAGTCCAGTCGCTGTTTACTTTCTTTTTTAGAGTGGCAGTGTGCATTTTATTGTGCAGAATTTAACTGGCCTGGACTATAAGTTTCTTCACCCATTGAGCTTAAAGTGGCTCACAGATCTTGAAAAGTATTTTTAAGAAAAGAGAGAAAACCTCCTGGATGATTCTGTGCTCTCCTACAATGTGCTTTATTCTAAGGAAAAGCTGTTGTTATGTGTCCTTCTGTGCTGTTGGTGGGCAGTGTTTTGTGCATGCTTTGACATAAAATCTGTTAATCTTTACATGCAAGATTTTACCAATCATGACGATTATAATCTAATATGAAGACCTAAATAAACTTTTCATGCTTATTTTTAATGCCTGAAGTGTTTGCAGCCAAAATAAATATTCAGTTTTTTGTGCTATAGACGCAACACATTTTTCTTGGTTATTATTATCAGTGTCACAAGCATTTATGGGAATATATAATACATGACAAAGATGTGCTATTAGGTTATAAATGACCTGTAAGCAGAGCAAACGCTGCTACAGGAACTAAACCGAGAAGAAAGCTTAAACAGAACCAGTCATCATAAAAGTTTTACAAAACAAAAATTCAAACCCTTTTTTAGGAATGACATAAACCAAATAGGAAACAAAATAATTTAACATTTTCTGTTTGTGCCTTTAGTGGATTTTCAACACCCATTTGATTTAATTTTAACTTAGAAAACTAAGTTAATAACATTTTATTTGTGCTTAACAAACAACTCCAGGGTCTGAATCTACTTAAAGTGCTCAAGTGAACGAGACAAAACTCAAACAAACTCACTAAAGGTAAATAATAATAATAAAATGACAAAAGCGTAAGGCAAACAGATGACACAGATGCTGTTCAGGCACCAAATACTGTGACTGACTGTGCTTCACACTATTATATCTGTTCAGTCATGGTGCTCTCTCAGGGAGGGGCCACAGAACGAAGTGTCCTCTGCTGTTCAGCAGAGACACCTAGCGGTCAAATCCAAGTACTACCACTTATTTCCAAACATGAATGTCACAGTACATTTCCACAGTTGTACAAGAATATACAATAAAATAAAAAACAAAGGCTTTGTTTTCACACTTTGGATCACAGAAAAGACATTAAAGTGTAGCTTGTAGTGCTGATGATGTAAATGTGGTCACGATTTGAGGAATGTATCAGTGTTGAACCTAAACACCATCCACTCAGGGGTGGACTATGGTTGATCCRCGGTGCAGGGAGGCAGTGAACCACCTAATTCAATGCCCTGCGATGACATCGGTGAGTAAAAACCTTACAGGTGAATCAACAGCTGTGCAGGTGGAGCAGACAAAGCCGTGGTGTCCACTCCTCCTGCACAGAGAGACAGTCTGTTTCTATGGAGCGTTGCCACGGCCTCCCCTGAGTAACGCAGCTCTATTTTTAAACGGGCCGGGTCACCAGGAGCTCAGTGGCAGACAATACACCGGCATCTGTGCGTACACAAAGACAGAACCACCTCTCTGTCTGCCTTTCTAACAAAGATGCCTGGCTGATACAACGTCAGCCGTTTCATTCATTAAAATCTGCAGATTAAAATGGAAAAATCTCCATTCTTGACCCAACAACAAACAACAACACGCATCGTCGCTGGTAACATTTCCATAGCTTTGCTTATTGAGGAGGAAGGTTGTTTAAAAGACGAATGTTTCTCCATTTTAAGGCTCAGAGATGCTCTAAAGATGGCTGTGCTTCGGTGAAGAAATGGCAAACAACAAAACTACACTTTCTTCTGCAGCGTGTCYGCATGACTTAAAGTGATGTTTGAGACTATTGCACAACATATACTCTATTTATAAAGATTTCAAATGTACATTTGGGAAATTGAGATAGAAGGAGATTTTACGAGGAGTCTGATTATTTACTATTATTGCTGATGCACGATAGGCACAATAAACTAAGATATAATGTGCTTGTAACACCATGAGAGTTGTCTACCACATACTGTTATGGATGCATTTGTAACCTTTCATTTCTTCAACGTAAGAAACCTTCTTATACTGATCAGAAAAAAGGTGTTTTTATGTTTTTGAGCCTCCTTCTACTCTATTCCCACAATTCACAATCCTCTCCAATGAACCAGAAAAAGCACAAACCGGTAAACACACAGAATTACAGCTCAGTACAACACAAAGTTTCAGCATTGGACACTCCTTAACCCCCAGAGTTTATCATCTAAACTCTCAAACGACCATTCTGGATTATCTCTTTGCTCCCGCCTTCGTCCCTCTGTCTCTGCCATTTTGTCTGGATGGAAAAACCTTTTCACAGTCCGTGTCATGAACCGTGTGTGATGGGGCAAAAACAGGGGGGCAGAAGATTTTAGCTCTGAAGGTTAAGGTGTGGGGAATGCTGCAAGTGATTCTTCTCTTCCTCTTTCCTTCCTCTGTCTTCCTGCCTTCAGCCTTAGAGGGTGCAGGTGTGGGTTATAAGATGTATGAGCTCAGTGGATCATAGCTCAGATTCGGGCGAGCCAATGTTCTGGTAGCCYGTCTTGGTGCTGGTGCCATAGTTAGTGTTGGTCATCTCCTGGGTGCCGCCGGGCCCCAGGTAAGGGCGGTGGGCGGGCATGGGGGAGGGGGTCTCGTTGGGGTTCTTGCCAAGGATGAAGCGCTGCTCGTCCTGCTCCTCCAGGTTGGAGATGTCCTTCATCATGCCTTTGCGGTAGGAGACGGACAGCTTGTTGGAGCCGTCGGAGATCAGGTTGAAATGGCGGGCGATGAAGACCATGGGCAGAGGCAGCATGGCCACCACAATCAGGGCGTACGCCATGGCTAAAGCCCAGGGGGGGTAGCTGTGGAAACGCTCCGAGCCCTAAGAACGAAAGAGAGCAAAGTCGTGGGATGGAGAAAAAAAATTTACAGAGAAAAAGAGATGAAGTGAAAATGTACATACTTTCAACTCTCATTTCTTTATATTAAAATGATCTCGATCAATTTTTTTGGCTTTCTGAAGTCCTTTTAAATTTATTTTTTATTGGTTCAACTATAGAAATCTATGGAGTTAAATCAGTGACAGCTTACATTGATATTGAAAAAGAGATCTGGCACTGAAAAATGAAACATTGACAAAAGAAACACTGAAAAAAGAAACATTGAAAAATAAAACATTGTCATTGAAAAACACAACATTGAATAAATAAACATTGAATAAATAAACATTGAAAACTTAAACATTGAAAAAATAAACATTGAAAAGATTTTGGCATTTTAAAGTTACAATGCCAAAATATTTTCAATGTTTAATTTTTCAATGTTGTGTTTTTCAATGACAATGTTTCTTTTTTCAGTGTTTCTTTTTTCAATGCCAAATCTCTTTTTCAATATCATTGTAAGCTGTCACTGATTTAACTCCATAGTAATCAGAATAAATTTGTTTCTGTGACAAACTAGTTCTTTGCTAAAGTCTAACATTGTCGAAAACCCTAGTTCAGCTCCCAGTTTTAGACTTTTTATATTTAAAAGATTTTATATGTCAGATTTAAAAGGCTTAAACATAAAAAATAAGCATTTCTCTGAAAACCGTTACTTGACTTTGAAGTGAAAATGAGTGAAAAGAAGCAAAAGGCAAACAATAAAACGACCTTCAGAAACAAACAGCAGATAAAATCCACCAGAAAGTTTGACTCCTTCAAACTAAAGCACAAAAAAATGAGGAACGACTCAATATGTTTTTCCACAGTGCAGTATATACATAAATACTTATGATAAAATTGTAAAAAAAGATTGAAGATGGTTTCCCTATGTCACAGTCTGCATCTCAAAAAGTCTGGATGAACTGACCTCGTCTTCCTCCCAGGCGTTGTACCCTGCAGGACTGACAGCCATCTCAATGACAGTGGCAGTGATGAGCACCACTAAGATGGCAGGCGACACATATTTCCACATATAGAAATAGAAGGAGTACGGCCTGAAGCCAAGCATGTCCTCCAGATCCTGCATGAACCTGCGGAAAGCAAGAAATGAATAAATGATACAAGGAAGTAAGAAGGGTTTTGAAATGTTAGATGAAGACTTCAGAGACTCTGGAAAGTGGACAGTTTCAAAGCAAAAGCGAGGCTTGAAAAACTAAGAAATAAGAAAGAACAGCATCATAATGAGCTAGTAAAACTGAAGTTTTTCTTTTTTTCTTTAAAATCCTCAGCTACATTTCTCCTAAATGCATCCTCCAGGTTCATCAACACTCAGCATCTATTAGTGAATGAATGAAAGAAATCAGTTGCTTCTTTAAGAATAAACAAATACAAGCTCAATAAATCTTCCCAAACAGGTTACCTCTTAGTGCCATAGATCCAAGCTACTGAGATGTTCTCCAAGATCACCACCACAGTGAGAGGCAGACCAGCAGAGTAATCATCAAACATGGTGACAAAGTAGTTTCCTGAGCGCTGCACGAACAGCAGGCCTAACAGGAAGGCTATTATACAGCAAACCACTGARGAGCAGAAGCAAACAAAACGTCTGGTGAAAAACTGATCCAATGCTTGGATTTTTGAATGACCTGCCGGGTCAGAACCTACCGCACAGGATCTCCTTGCGGATCTTGAAAGCGTCCAGTATGGGAGTGGTGATCCCGGTCATGGTTCCGATCATGCTTCCCAGGCCCAGGTTGATCAGCATGAAGAAGAACATGACGGACCAGAAGGGGCTGGCGGGGAAGTGGGTCATGGCCTCTGTGAAGGCAATGAAGGCCAGGCCAGTGCCCTGAACTGCCTGCAGGATGAARAGAAATCATCACTGTGGTTATGAAGGTGAAGACTGAGCTGCTGGAACAACCTCCATCAGTAGCTTCAATTATTATAGAGCAACTGTAAATGTTCTTATGAAGGCAGTAAAGTCCAAAACATGTCAAATAATCAGGTCCAAACATCGTCCTCTGACCTTATTCAGCTCATCCTCCAGGATACAGGCRTCCAGGCCCAGCTGGGCGAAGTTGTCCTCCTTCACAGTTTTGATGACTCCGTACATTTCTGTGTAGTCCTGAGACGACAGGTGAGAGAAGTTGATGTGAGGAGGAATCAGCTCTCTGCTCAGCACACCTGTGTTCAGGTAACCCAGAATCTTCTCTGCATTCCTGAAACATAAAGCGGAGAGACATTAAAGCGTGCTCTGAAAGATACAAAGCTAAAAATAAAAGAGGTTTGTTTTTTGCACGACATACTCACTCAATGACACACTTCTCATTCATCACGTTCGCTTTGAAGCCCAGCACGGCAAACACCACCAAGGTGGCCAGGATGGAGGTGACGAAGTTGATGATGGAGACCAGCGAGGCGTCGAAGTGGCAGTTGTTGTCTCTCTTGTTGTAGCTGGAGAAGGCGATGACGCCGCCGAAGCCCAGCCCGAGGGCGAAGAAGACCTGCGTGGCGGCTTCTCTCCACACCTGAGGCTCCAGCATCTTCTCCAGCTGACATGAAAGGAGAAAAAATAAAAATAAATCGAAACAATTATTTCCTATAAAACAGCTGAACATTATTATTTATTATACACAGTATTCAGTTTTTATTCATCGTCATGAAGGTGATTCACAAGCTGCTGTTTGCTTTAATAAACCATCTTTTTGTGACTTGTGCAAAACTCAACCATTTGATTTGCATTATTAAAGATTATAGATTTAATTTTCATGTTTCACACAAACATAATCACATTATAAACAAAGTCCAGTGTCATTTTACTGTCTCCCACCCTCCTTATTTATTCATATTTCAAAATAAAGTGTTCAGACTCATTTCGTCATGCGAGTTCCAAAACTTAAATGATAAAAATAATAAGTCACTTCACGCACTATCAACTAGCAGGTCAGCCTCACTTCTTAAAATGTCCAAATTGTTTAATCAAGAGCAAAATTAATTTATACATTTAAGTTTAATATTTTACATGCAGCATGAGGTCTATACACATAAAAATGTTACTACAAAGTAAACAAATAGCTCTACAAACCAAGTCGTAGGTCTCTATTTTTATAATAAAATTCCAAAAGACAAATTTTGTTCCCTCCTCATATTAATTGATAAAAAGATTTCTTTGTAATTTTTCAAGCTCACACTTCAGTAGTTACGTATGAGTTGGGTGAATAAAGTGAGAATTGATCAATAAACATGACCTGTTGCCCTCATTTCTAACCAGAGCTAAACATATGTAGCAGAGTGGATAAAACAGTATCACCCTCTGTCTCATCCCTCACATGTTTTTCACCCTAAAGGAAGTGAGAAAACCTTCTCCAGCTGCCACAGTGTGATCAACATCCACATGTTGACTATAATGAATCTAACTTAAAACATTTTAAAATCTATCTGCACACCTTTAATCACAGGAAAAATCTTTGTGGATTCACCCTAAGCATTGTTTAAAAAGGTGAATTTTGTAGCTGACATATACATTTAATGATAATGTTTCCTTTAAGACAAACTATTTTTATAATAATTTTATAATTATTACTTTTATTAATTTTTATTTTATCTTCAATGCATTTAAGAGTACATCCAGGCTGCTGTAAACATTTCCCTAACCGTCTTGCTTGAACTGTATTCTGCAGTTCAACTTAAATATAATTTAGGGCCAGTTTGGACCAAAGTCTGTTGTCTTAATGCCAAAGATCAATAGCATTGATCTGTCACTCATTCTACAAGAAAAAAAAAAAAGAAAAGAAAATGTTGAAACATGAGCTGAATGTGATAGAAAGCTAAAATAATTTTTATAAGCTGTGCATTTAAATCATAAACAGAAACTGTGGATTCATTTAAATTTTCAAACAATAYGTCCACATAATTGAGCTTTTTGCAAATTTAATAAAGAATTATTGCCTCAAAAGCAATAAATTCATTCAGTTGTTTTCACTTGGTACTTTACTAACAAATTACTGTGTACAGAGCAGTAACGTGAGTAAAATAATGTTTTTATTTTTTTAATAAGTGGTGAAAATGTGCCGATTTTTCAAAACACATGTTCACCACAAGAGGGAGACACTGACCCATAGCTGTGTTAATA